TATATTCGTTATTCTCGTTATTCATTGTATCTTTAAATATTGAATATATTTATATTCTATTTTAGATATATTATCTATTAATTGATCTAATTTGTCGTTATTAGTTTTTGTGATATTGAATTATTTATATTCCGAATATAATTTGTTTAATTTTCTTCTTATTTTTCTTAACTTTCTACTAGTATGTTTCTTCTTATATTTCTTTTTTTTTTCCGTCTACCTCTAACAATTTCTGAGAAGATTGGGTATTCAACTTTATTCCAAAAGAAAGGTAGCAAGAATAGGAGCCTAGAGAGGAGACACTTCACGTTAATCGACTTGTCATAATTGTTTCGTAAAAGCTACTTGCGTCATGCATATATAATTAAAAAAAATAGAGTTTATAAAACCAAATCACCAATGGTTGTTAGATGAAGTTTGATTAGATCTGTCAGTTGCTCTCTTGCAAGTGCTCCATCTCCTTGATCTCTTCTTTTTATTATTAGCTAGATTTGGCATTTTTAGCCATGCCTTCGACCAAATTGAGCTTCCTAAGTCTACATTTTTCTTTCTTCCTTTCCCCCACAATAGTGATATTTCTTTATTACTTCTCTTGGTTAATGGAAAAACAAAATTCCTTAATTTTACCCTACCTGACACCATCCATCTCCAAACAGTAAATGTGTTTTCCTTTCTTCAATAATATAAGGTAAGCTTTTAAAGGTAATACATCCTCCATATAAATATATACATATATATTCCCCGACTGGTGCATTTCATACTAAAAAGAGATATGAAATAAAAGAAAATTAAAATTTTTAAAAAGAATAACATTTTGGTTGTTTTGTCAATTGAAATTCTATGGCTAACTCCATGTGAAATATTTTGGCAGAGGGTGTACGTGAACTTGATCCAAATAATTCGGGTTAAATTTCAATTGTTTGCCAACCACTGAACGTGACCTCAGCATTTAAACCATTTTGTGGATGTTTGCCTCAAAAATATCTCATGGAGTGCTAATGTCATGCGTATTTGTGGATCATCATTAGTGTTTCTTCAAGGATATTTCAGTTGCTCTTTTTATGTCAGAAATACTCAATGATTGTACGTTCCACAACCTTGGTGTTTGTTGTACAAAAGAACCAACGCAGCTTCACCGTGTAATATCATCGCACCAAGTGCAATCACCCACAAGAGTATTGTGACATTACGTCCACAAGTTGTTTTGATGAGTCGTCTAGAGGAACAATTTAATCATTACCCATACCTCTTCGAAAATATATCTGGGAGATCCAGAGTGGTCAAAATAATCTGTTTCCACATGAAACCATTGCCAAGGTGAAGATATTGCTTTTCCCAACTGCCCATGCATCATGATTCAGAAATGAATTTAGAAAACAAATAAGAACACTAGAGTATTTCATCAAATAGCTCAATGACCTGAGATGGAAACCTTACCAATAAGATCACAGAAAACCATACCCTCTTCGCCTGTCATCATTAAGCTGTCCTGTATCACCAAGTAGCCAAACGAGACTTCCTGCAAGTAAGAAGTTGCTTCAATTGCTGGCTTTGTCATTTGCAACGTCCCATAGGACTAATACAACAAAGCTGCAAACAGAGAACCTCAAGAAACCCACAATTATTACTTACAGATTCTCAATATTGGATTACAGCCATTCAAATAACAAGCAGGCAATGTAGCATCTGCAAATGGAATAGGCACTTCGGATGCAAATTTTGTACAAAAGAAACAAGCCACTTCTCCATCTTCAGTGTGGGACCTAGCATCCGTTGGCTTTTCTTAGATATCTAGTGCACTCAAAATGGCACATAAAAAAGCCAACTGTGTCGCAATTTAACAAAGCAGAGAAATTGAAGTCAAATTATTCCAACACAGCGGCCCAGTAGGCCTGCCTTAAACTGGATCTACTTTATCCAGAATTTTGATAACACCAGGATATACAAGATTCCAAATGTTTTTTAAAGAGAGAATCAAAATTTGATAATTGAAAAAATAAAAGACTGAATAATAAACATCAACAAGTGTAACAGCAAATAATCAGTTACAACCATTATATTAGCCTATTGTTTGATCCCAAACAGAAGCATTCTAATGTACACAACTGCTACATAAACCTCACCAACTGAAAACGGGTATCCAGACAATCAAGCTTTGATTTCCAGGTACAAAAGAAGACCAACAAATTTACACATGCAGTTACTCCAATACTGCAACTTCTTGGTCTACTCTCCAATAGTTTGCATCATTGTACTCTTTTATTCCTGCCCCACCATCATCTGTACTCTCTTTTTCAGGACTCTTAGGAGCAATGCTCTTTTTCAATGGAGCAGCCTCCCCAACGATCCCCTCCTTAAGAGCATGTTCCATTGCCTTTTCAGTACCCTCTAATTCTACACCAACAAATTCAACATCCTCTTCAAACATAGAAGGAACAGCAGCTGCTTTCTGACTAGACTCAGATCCAGGTGAACTTTTCCTGGAATCTGGAGAGGTTGAGACACCATTTTGAATAGATTCTTCACTACCACCAGAAGTGGAACTTACCAAAGGAGTTGCTGCCTCCACTGAATTCGCCAGATGGCCACTAGAGTTACTGGGATCTTCAAATGGGTTCACATTGGATCTACCAACTTGAAAGTCTGAAGCATTGCCCCATGCTGCCCATTCAGGCATAGGCCTGTCTCCAAAGGGGTCGTCATTGTCTGTTGTCTCAAAGCGAAAGAAACCCATGTCATCTGACGGACCTGCTTTCTCATTTTGTTGATTGAAGCTACCACCATTAACAGAATTCGATCCACCAAATCCACTATAGGCATTTGAACTAGAAGTGGGTGCTCCATCTGTAGAGTTTTTGCTCTCAGCCAATCCATCCTCCTCTCCAACTACCACCTCGTCATCACTATTGCTATTCCCACCATTTGATGTTCCATTAAGGTTGATCTCTTCCATTGCCTCTGTAGGTGAGGTGTTCATAGGTGCATCACCAAGTCTATCATCTTGAAAAGCAAACCAGTTTGAGTTTGTGAACAAACTGCTGCAGAACAGTTAAAAAAGAAAACAGAACTGTCACACACAAGCAGTATAAAGTCTATATAGTAAAAAACAGATGCTATGACCTTGCCTGTGTCACTAGTTGCCATATTTTAGCACACTCAAAGGAACCAAAGAAACAGAAGGGCATGCATTTCCTTTTGTGTGTGTGAGTGGGTGGGTGAAGGCCTGAAGGGGAAGGGGGAAGGAATCTTCTCTCTCCCCATCCTCCTTCATTTTCTTGCATTTAAAATCTAAGGGCTCGTTTGGTGTGAGGGATTAGAAATAATAGTGATGGGATAAGGAAATAGTGATGGGATAAAAAAAAAATTATGTTGTTTGGTTGGCAAGTCCGGGATAACTTATCCCGGGATTAATAATTAGTACCGGGATAAGTTATCCCTCCCCATGGGTGGTATAGTAATCCCGGGATAACTTATCCCGAGATAAAATAGGTAAATGACAAATATGTCCCTTTAAATCCTTTTTATACATCATTTTTTACATTTATGTATATTTACACTTTTTTTAATACCATGTATAATAATATTTACTACTCCTTATTTTTATGATCATTATACATATTTTCCTATTAAAACATTATACTATATAAATATAATTTTTATTTATGAATTTATTTGACTAATTCTTATGTTTATTTTATTTTGATTTCTCATAAATTTTCTTCTCTTTAATAAACTTAAGAGGGAAGTTCTATTTTTAAGCTAAATAAGAAAAAAGTTATATTTTTAAATACACATGGTACTTATCATGGGAATACATAAACAAAAATATTTAAGTTAAATAAAATAAAAGTTTTATTTTAAAAAATGAATAACTAAAGCTCACAAAGAAATATTTAAAAAGTTTAAATAAAGTGAAGGGTAATTTTGTAAACAAACAACTTGTTATTAAAATTTATCAATATATATTATTGTGAATATAACAAACCAAACACTCAATAAGAAATAATCCCAGGACAACTTATCCCATCATAACTAATCCCAACATAACTTATCCCAACATAACTTATCCCATCATAACTCATTCAAATCAAACGACCCCTAAGGGTGTTTGTTTGGAGAGAATTTATTTTCAGTTGCCTACACCCAATTATAGTGCAGAAAACACGTGCTGTATTGACATCTGCACACGGCTAAAGCTAATCCTTTAAAACTACAGAGCTGCACACTCACCTCCCCTGATCATCTCCCAATCGGAGGGATGATATCACAACTTCAGCAGACTCATCATCAAAGTAAACATCCTACATGGCATGACCATAAACTGTGAGAACACAGAGGCTTATGATAACATCAAGAAAAAGATTGACAGAGCTTTAAAAATATTCAAAAGGAAGTAATGTCAATCACAGAATAAAAGCACTACCTCATCATCTCGTTCAAGAGCTGTATGACCCTGTAAACAAGTAATGAAGACCATGAATGAATTGACAAATGTGTAACCATAACTCAACTGCACCCCACAGCCCAAAATCAGGGTTACGTGCACAGGTCCCAGAGTTGTATTTATCTTCTCTTCTGCTTACAGAACAGCACCCAACCCCACACCTCTAAGCTTCTTCCCCGAAAAAAGAAAAGAAAAGCTGAGAAATTAACACTGCTCTAAATGCACTAGGCAAACCCTTACCTCTTCAGCATCATCATTGTCATATATGGTGTATCTGAATGCTTGGCTAAGATTATTGGCTAAAGCTGCTACATCATAATCTCTGTCATGAACATCCTCCTCATCACTGTCCCTCATCCGATCGTGTAATGCAGTCGGCCGGCTGCTCATATTTAGAAAACTCATCATGATCTCTATTCCAGTAGTTGATACAGGGATCAACAAGGGCAGTAAAGAGGAAGAGGCAGAAGGGAAGTAAACTGGAACATTTTCACTTCTTTTGCCTACCAAAAGTACTCAACATAACCACCTCTCATTCTCCACTTCTTTGAAAATTTGTGACATCTATATTTATACTACTTAGAGGAGCTATCCTCGACTATCTGATTAAATGATTTTATTAGAAGCTTTTTTTGGTTGAACATGTGATTTTCACTATATGCTTTTCGTCTAATTAATAAGGACACTTCTTGTCACTACTAGAAACGGACATGACTGCAGCCTCCAAAAGCACATGGTTACAGTTAGTTCTCCTGCTTTCCCACCCACCATTTATTTTTGCTCACAGGGACAACAATAATATGTAGAGTACTAGTCTGTTAATACTTCTCTCTGTTTACTTCTCCAATTTTTTTACAACTCTGGTTATTTCTCCATTTTATCACTCCACCAGGTTAGGGGGGAGTTGAGATATATGCAAATGGCATGGTTTAGCTACGATAAGCTTTATTGAAGAACACTAACACTATAAAAAGGTATAGCTGATGTAATTGTTCCACTTACATAAGGTCTGGTGTTTGTCCGGGGTTAGAACTTGCATGTCCATATATTTGAAGAACCACTTTAAAATCAAGAAACCCTAATTTGCCTTCAAAGACGAATTATTTAGAAGTGGTATGAACTGGACCTAATAGAGCAGAATGGACAAAGGGAATTCTATAGCCGACCCTAGATAATTTGGGATCAGGACATATTTGATTGATAGACTAACATTAGAGATGATATAATATTGGTGATCAGTTACACAATTAAAAAAAGAGGCAAAACTTACCCACAAGCCCATCGGTAGACATTTTCGATTGTATTACGCTCTTGTAATACAGTAGTTTGCCAATCGCTCCATTCCATATTTTTCTGGTGTAAAGAACACAGACTAGCATGTGAGGATGCATTTAGCACAAAATCTGCTGCCATTAATAGCTATTATATAGAATGTCATCAGGCAGAACCTTTCACCAACTTCTTCTACTCAATCAATATGATGAGCCAAAACAATAACAAAGGATCTAATGAGATACTCCACAATCATAATAATGATTTTGCTAACAAAGTGATTTCACATAATGACAAGGAACGTGACACTTGAAGATCAACTAAAAAGTTTAATCACCCCACACAGTAAAATCAGTGCCAGTGCACTCTTCCCAACAACTATAAACAAGCTAAAAGATCAATTTCATATCAAAGACAACTTTTGAAGCATGATGGCTAGGTAACCGTATGTTGAAATTAATTGCCAACGTCCATCCTAAAATCTTTTAAAGATGTGGAGAAGCAGTGTTCAGGAAAGCGAGTAAGGTTTCAGTGTACTCTTTCCTTCCAGTACTTTTTCTCTTTTCTTTCTTCTTCATACTGGTGCAGTGGCACTGCTAGATTTTCTTCCTTTTTTTTCTCTTTTCATTACTCTGTTTTCCTTTGCCCTGTATAGCTTTGATTGTTTAAATTATAAGTTGCTGAATTTGTTTTCCTCACAGTGATTATTAGATATATATTGCTGAATTGTTTTGTTCCTTAACAATGACTAAATGTTGTTGAATTTTTTCTTAATAATGAAAAAAAATATAACGTTGATTATTTTTCTTAAATCTTATCCGCGATTAAACATAGCTGACCCGGCATGAAAATATGGGGGAAAAAGTTAGTAAGACCAATTGGACAACAA